CATCTTCTCTCCCTTCATGGTCCCTCACTAACCTCAACAATCTTTGCAACTGGACTGCCATTGTTTGTGACCACAGCAGCACACAAGTTTCCCAAATTGACCTCTCCTACTTCGACATCTATGCAACACTAACCCATTTCAACTTCACCCCATTTCTCAATCTCACCCAATTCAACCTATCTGGCAACTATTTCGAAGGGCCTATACCGTCTGCCATTGGCAACCTCTCCAAGCTCACAACTTTGGACTTGGGCCACAACTTCTTCAGTGGAGAAATACCTGTGGAGATAGGCATGTTGACTGAGCTTAAATACCTTGATCTTAGAGAGAATTCCTTAAACTCTTCAATCCCTTCTGAGCTTGGTCTTTGTACCAACCTCGCCTACTTGGACCTGGCTTCCAATTCCCTTGAAGGGAAAATTCCATCCTCTATAGGCCAACTCAAAGAACTTCAGTACCTTGATCTTAGAGAGAATTCCTTAAACTCTTCAATCCCTTCTGAGCTTGGTCTTTGTACCAACCTCACCTACTTGAACCTGACTTCCAATCACCTTGAGGGGAAAATTCCACCTTCTATAGGCCAACTGAGGGAACTTCAGTACCTTGATCTTCACATGAATTCCCTAGACTCTTCAATCCCTTCTGAGCTTGGTCTTTGTTCCAGCCTCACCTACTTGGCCCTGGCTTCCAATCACCTTGAAGGGAAAATTCCATCCTCTATAGGCCAACTCGGAGAGCTCCGGCACCTTGATCTTCAAAACAATTCCTTAAACTCTTCAATCCCATCTGAGCTTGGTCTTTGTACCAACCTCACCTACTTGGCCCTGACTTCCAATAAACTCAGTGGGGAACTGCCTCTGTCCTTGTCCAATCTGAACAACATCACCCATCTGAGTTTATTTGCTAATCGGTTTACCGGACCACTCTTGCCTTCTTTGCTCTCCAATTGGACCAAAGTGGCCCATTTGCTACTTCAACACAACAGCTTCAGTGGGAATATTCCACCAGAAATAGGAAGATTATCAAATTTGATTGACTTGGATCTTTCGAGAAACCAGTTCTCTGGGTCAATTCCTCTAACACTATGGAAACTTCGAAATATTCTGAGCTTAAATCTTTCCTACAACAATCTCAATGGCCCATTCCCGGAGAATATTGATTTCCCATTCCCGGAGAATATTGATTTGTCTAATAACAATTTCACACAGGCAGAAGCTTTTTTAAGTTGGAAGATCACCTTTGCTTCTGCACCACCTTCTCTCACTTCATGGTCCCCCACTAACCTCAACAATCTTTGCAACTGGACTGCCATT